TTGGAGGCCGTCGCTCTTAGGTTGGAGGCCATCGTTACTAGCTACTAGGTTGGATGCCACCTGTTACAAGTTTACATTCCATGAACGCCCGCAGTGGCCCGAGACCTTTGTGTAAAAGGGGCGCGCTTTCCGTGTTCGGTCGCGGTTTCTTTGATGGTAGCGGAGCCAGGCAATGTCCTGGCTCCCTTCCACGCTCCCCACCACGCGACGCCATGCTTGAGGATGCTGGCACTTCTTCTGTTGATGATTGGTGGTAGGGTTGAGCTTGACCACCTGAACATCTCCAACGACGTGGACGAGAAGGAGGAGGAGCTGACGGTGCTGAAGGACATGAGCCTAGAGACTAAGGAGGATCGGAACCTTCTGTCTAGATGGCCAGAAAAGCACTTTCAGATGATGACCGGCCTGACAGAGTCCTTGGGATTTGGTTTTGGGTGGATTGGTGCCACCTGTGAAGATGGCTTGACATGGATGGGTGCCATGTTGCTTGATGAGCCTGGGAGTCATGACCTAGGTGAATGGGTTGAGCCGAAGAGCAACTACAGCTTGGCCGAGGTCAAGGATTGGAACCTGGACCTGAACACATGTCCTCGCTTTGTGATTGCGGATGGGAGCCCAATCTGGCGAGAAGTTGGGGATCGGTGCCCTGACTTGAGAGTTTATGACGGTCGAAGCTTGCAAGATGTTGAGTACAGTTTGAACCTCAGCATGAACTTGGATGAAGACGTTGATTTTCCCAGGACTGGTGTTGGCAGCTATGTTGTTTCTTTCCTCCTCGAGCCCTACGTGTGGATGTTGTGCGGAGTGGTTCAGGTGCTTCTTTGTTTGAGAGCCAGAGCGTTGACGATCCAGGAAACAAACAAAGAGAAGAAGAAGGAGTTCAGACTCCATATGGGCCACTTGAGCTTTGCACGAAAGAGGAGGTGGAACGGCAGTCTGAGATCACGATTTGAAAGTCGAGTGCAGATGAAGAGTTTTGTGTTTCTCATGCTGTGGGCCAGTTCCAATGCCATGGACGCTGAGCAGACACGACAAGTTCTGACAAGGATGATGCAAATGTCGGAGGCTGCAACCTTGGCTGCTCAGGCTTCATCAGCTTTGATGGAGAAATGGGAGAGAAAGAAGGACAATGGCAACTTCGGTGAGGCAAGCAAGGTTCTTCGAAACCCAGATCTACTAGAAGGAGACGACCCACTGAAATATGCCTCGTGGAAAGAACAATTTACCAACTGGCTTGTTTATGGCGATTCCAGGTTTGGTGAGCTTCTGCGAGACGTGGAGAATTTGGACGAACCATGCCAGTTGTCGGACTTTGCATCTGATGATGTGAGATCCTTGGCTCATCGACTGTATGCCATACTTGCTTCCTATGTGAAAGGACCTGCTCAACAGTTGATTAGAGCCGAAGCTGGAGAGAAGAATGGTTTCTTGGTATGGCAACAGTTGAGGAATCTCTACATGCCAAAGGCTATACCACGAACGATGGCAATAGGCCAAGCAATCATGGCCTTGCCAAGCTTTCCCAGAGATCGAGGAATGCTGGAGAATCTTTTACAGCTTGACCTTTTGCTCGACCAATACCGACTTGCTTCTGGACACCCTATGCCTGATGACTTGGTTGTCTCAACTGTCTTGAGATGTGTTGATCCTAGCTTGAGGCGGCACTTGGAGATGACCCTCGATGACACGGTCAACTATGAGAGCCTCAAAGAGAAGTTGGTGCTTCTTGACAAGAATGTTCGTGTTTGGAGCGGTGACTCTTATCTCAAGATGGTTCAAAGCTCCATGTCTTCAAGTTCAGGAGGACCAGTGCCGATGGAAGTAGATCAGGTTGGACAGATCTCCAAGGGCAAGTACAAAGGGAAAGCCAAAGGAAAAGACAAGAAGGGCAGTGCTTGGTTTCCTTTTGGCTATGGTGGAAAACAAGGAGGCAAAGCTTTCAAAGGAAAAGGCAAGAAGGGTAAAGGCAAGAAAGGTAAGAAGGGAAAGAGCAAAGGTGGTGGCTTTGGCAAAGGGAAAGGCGGTGGTCAGGACAGGAACACCTGTCGAGTATGCGGTCAACAAGGTCATTGGGGCAATGAATGCCCGAACAGGAACCGTGCTCAGACGGTCATGAATGCCGCACCGCCAGTCAACAGCAGTGTGGCCGAAAGTGAGATTGCCAGTTCAGCAGGAGGAAAGGCTCGAACCAGTGGAGCATCATCGACGGCTTCAACTACAGCTTACAGTGGAAAGCCTCAGGTTCGACAAGTGAAGTTGTACCATGTTGCAACCCCGAAGAGTGAGACTCAATCTCCTGTACTTTTTGATTTGAAGAGTGAAGGAGGTGACAGCTGGATATACAACGACAACTACCAAGTCAGTACTGTCTACTTTGTTGTAGGTGATGAGTCTGACTTTGAGGAGGCTGACCTGACCGTTGACAAGACCACCAGATGGTATACTGATGCTAAGGTGATCAGGTACTCCATAGCAGAGGAAGAGATGAAGAAAGATGGAGTTTTCCAAGTGTGCACGGTCAGTGAAGCAAATGTGAGGACCCTCATTGTGCTAGACTCTGGAGCTGACAGTAGCCTTCTTCCTCAGACGATGGCAAATTGTGGTCGACCAAGTACTTCAGGAAAAGCGGTTCTTGAGGATGCACAAGGTGGACGCCTTCAGACGTTTGGCAAGAAGCTTGCTCAGATAGAGTGCGATGGTGGAGAGGAGACAGTGATCATCGAAGATTATTTTGTGGTCGCTTCTGTTCAGTGCCCACTGGTCAGCCTGGGAAGACTTCTTCAACGTGGATGGAAACTAGCCCCAGGATCTGGAGAAGCAGGAGTCCATTTGCATGCACCTGATGGAGCCTGCTCAATACCTCTTCATTTCAAACGCAACTCACTAGCACTCTATGGGACCATCAGCAGAGTATGCCAAGAGCCAGGTGAGGTCCATGGAGAAGGAGGAGCCAAAACACAAGACGACGATGAAGTCTTGGTGATTCGAGTGATCCTGAAGTTGAATGAAGAGTTCTGGACACACTATGGACTCAGAGCTTGGCGAACCACGAAAGACGGTAACCCTATGAGGTTTTGCTATGAGACAAAGAACTTCGTGGATGGGCAACTCATGTGGAACTTGAACTGGTGGCCATTGAGGTCAACTTTGATCAGGAAGTTGGATGACACGTGGGAGTTGGTTGAACACTGCGCTCGCTACTACACCAATGAAGAGCCTGATGGCGAGATTTTAGAGTGTGGTGGAATGGAAACTCAAACGTTGACAATCTTGCACAGGAAGAAAGAGCCAATTTCCTTCTTTGGCACGGTCATTGGTGAGCAAACAGCTACTGGAGGAGGAATTCAAGTTGACAGTGATGATTTCCAATTCAGTGGAGAGCCAAATGTTCCGTTTGAGTTGACCCACAACAGGAAGTGTCGGCTGAGGAGGTTGAGCAACAGGATGCAGAAGGAGATCCTTGGAATGGTCCCATACCCATGTTTGAGAACAAAAATGCCCTAGTGATCAATGACACGGATCTGAGCGAGAGGAGTTCTTTGCGGGCATTGAGAGAGGCAGCAGAGTTCCTTGGTGTGGGACGTGGCGGCTCCAAGAACTCGCTGTGGACGAGGATTAACCAAGAAGTCCAAAAGATGGAGAACAAAGAGCTTTTCACAGCAGCAAACAGGCTGTTCAGAGAACAACATCGACATCAAGGACTTGTTCCTGTGCGGGCTCCCCGGCAACCTAGTACAGAAGAGAGAGAGCTGCATGAACTGACACACATTCCATTTCAGCAGTGGTGCGACTTTTGTGTTGCTTGCAAGAGCCGGGTGGACCCTCAGAGAGTTCTTGACCACTCAGAAGAAGGCAGAAGGTCCATTCCTGCAATCCAGCTGGACTATGCTTTTGGCAAGTCTCGTGCTGACGAAGTTAACAAGAACATTGAGTTGGTGAATGTTGGTGACCTCATTGACAGGTGTGGATGCTGAAACTCGAATGCTGTTGTGTGTGCCAGTGGAAAGCAAAGGCTCTGATTTGCGCAATCAGGCAGAGCATGTGGTGAGGTTTTCCTTGTCTCTCAACTACTATGGAAATGTGGAGGTGATTGGTGACAGCGAGCCAACTATGAAGGCGCTGCTGACTTACGTGAAGACTTTGCGCCACAGTTTGGGACTGGAAACCACCATCACTTTCAGTATGAAGAAGGGCCAAACCAGCCGAGTTGAACGAGCGATTCAAACTCTTCGAAGACAGGCCTCGACATTGATGGAAATGTTGCAGGACAAGTGCAAGTTGAATTTGGCCAGTGAGCATCCACTCTGGCAATGGTCCTACCTTCATGCTGCATGGTTGTTGAACAGGTTTGGAGCCCATCGTGCGATCCAAGCAGCCCCTTTCGAACTTGCTTTTGGCAGAAGGTACACTGGCAAAGTCGTCTGCTTTGGGGAGTTTGTCATGGTCCTGAACAAGCAACCTGGTGCAAAGCAAGGACCCCAATGGCTTCCAGGAGTGTGGGTTGGCAAGACCAGTGAAGATGACCTCCACATGGTGATTGGCACTACTGGATTGTTGAGAGGCAAGGCCATTCGACGGACAAGTGAGCCCTGGAGACCTGTCTATGTCTTCTTGATCAAGACAAGGCCTTACCGCAATCCACAAACAAGGAGACCAATGCGGTTGATGCCTGCCACACCTATGATCCCCAAAGGAGTACGAGGGCCTGGAAAGAAGAGCCAAG